TTAATTAGTCAGGAAAACACATTGAAGCACCAAAAAACCCCACCTAAAATGCTCAGGCAAATTCATCTGGTTATTGACTGTCTATAATTACATACAAAAGTACTGTAATTCTTGAATATGGCAGTAATACTTCAGTTTTAAATAATTAGGGGAAAAGAAATTAAAGAATGATCTGATTACAATATATAATTTCTCATTGAATCATCAATGCTGTTCAATTTCATAAAAAATATTATATGTTATTTTGGTTTTGGACTGGTATATGTGGATATATTACCTGCTAAGATTTTATATCACCCGAACCGTTAGGCTAGGGTGATATTCTATCTTGGCAGGTAATATATCCACATAAATATATCACTCCAAAACAAAAATAATAATTTTATTACCCTTCCCCTGTCGAGTTTAGACGATTTTTTAACAAATCATTATTGTTTCAAATGAAACATCGAAATAAGATTCCCTTCATCACAACATGACGTCACATAAATACATGACGTACTTTTTCCTGTACCTAACAAATGGTAACAAGAGAAAAGGAGCAGTCTATTGAACGCGTTTTTTTGTAATTAATATCAAGCTTTCACAAGATCATATTTGTTTTCAATACTGATGAGAATATGTATCATTACTCTACTTTGGTAAATATTTATCATTTGACAGTTAAAAAGTGCTTGTAAATCGGAATTTACACCGCGTAAAGTCGAACCGTATGCGCATCACTTCAGCGCATGTTGTTTACGACGTGGGGTACCCAACAGGGAAATTTAGTGTGTATATTACCCTTCTGGCTCGGTTATATCAATTTCTTTCGGGTGATCAATATCCAATCAAAAAGGCGGAAAAAATCTGGAAGGGTAATAAATGCTTCTATTTCGGATATCAATTAAAAACATTCTTAATTAACTTGATGAAAAGAAATCATAGTGTCAGCCATTTTGAAAAAGATTTCATCACACATAATCATGGTGAATTTTTAACAGCATTTCAGGTTTTATTTTTTGCATAAAGTAAATTGTTAATATACATTATATTCCACGTAGATACTCACTTCTCTAAAAAATATGACATACATTGTATATTGGATTTTTGTTGTTGAAAATTTCAGCATTTAAGCTGCTTTAAATAAATTTGATAAACAAGCATCCTGACAAATTAATGACAAATGATTTAAACAAGAGCTGTCGGTAGGACAGCATGCTCGACTATTCTTAGTGCTTGATAGTAAAAAAAATGCCTGATACAGTTACCTCCTCCTGTTTACAGGTTGGGGTCATGATGGTGAACAAGTGTGCAAAGTTTCAAAGCCATATGTCAATGGACTTTGAAAATATTTGAACTATTACAAAAACTTTAACGTAAATTCTAAGTCGAAAAAGGGGCATAATTCTGTCAAAATGCTTGATAGAGTTACCTCCTCCTGTTTTACAGGTTTGGGTCATGATGTTGAACAAGTGTGCAAAGTTTCAAAGCCATATGTCAATGGACTTTGAAAATATTTGAACTATTACAAAAACTTTAACGTAAATTCTAAGTCGAAAAGGGGCATAATTCTGTCAAAATGCTTAATAGAGTTACCTCCTGCTGTCTACAGGTTGGGGTCATGATGTTGAACAAGTGTGCAAAGTTTCAAAAGCCATATGTCTATGGACTTTGAAATATTTTGAACTATTACAAAAACTTTAACGTAAATTCTAAGTCGAAAAAGGGGCATAATTCTGTCAAAATACTTGATAGAGTTACCTCCTCCTGTCTACAGGTTGGGGTCATGATGGTGAACAAGTGTGCAAAGTTTCAAAGCCATATGTCAATGGACTTTGAAAATATTTGAACTATTACAAAAACTTTAACGTAAATTCTAAGTCGAAAAAGGGGCATAATTCTGTCAAAATACTTGATAGAGTTACCTCCTCCTGTCTACAGGTTGGGGTCATGATGGTGAACAAGTGTGCAAAGTTTCAAAGCCATATGTCAATGGACTTTGAAAATATTTGAACTATTACAAAAACTTTAACGTAAATTCTAAGTCGAAAAAGGGCATAATTCTGTCAAAATGCTTGATAGAGTTACCTCCTCCTGTCTACAGGTTGGGGTCATGATGGTGAACAAGTGTGCAAAGTTTCAAAGCCATATGTCAATGGACTTTGAAAATATTTGAACTATTACAAAAACTTTAACATAAGTGGTTACGCCGACGCCGACGCCGATGCTCGGGTGACTGCAATAGCTCTACTTATTCTTATCGAATAGTCGAGCTAAAAATGTGACCACTAAAGCGTTCTATATTTGGGCAGTGTGACCTAGTTTTTAACCCCAGATGACCCATATTCGAACTTGACCTAGAAATCATCAAAACAAACTTACAAACCAGTTTCAAGGATATTTGGATCAAAATGGTAGCCACTAGAGTGTTAACAAAATTTTTCTATTTTTAGCTCCTGTGACCTAGTTTTTCATCCAAGATGACCCATGTTCGAACTCATCCGAGCAATTACCTAGACAACCATCCTGACAAAGTTTGATGAGGCAAAAATGTGATCGCTAGAGAGTTAACAAACAAATACGGAGGAATGACTTACAACAGACATTTAACAATCCTAAAAGCTCACCATGAGCTAGCTCAGGTGAGCTAAAAACTTATTGTGTGGAGAAACTACAAAGCGCAAAGAGTAAAATGAATATTTAATGATAAATAAAGGGATGGTCGCGAGTAGTTAAATTATGATGCAAAAAAAGGCATGACATGTTCGTCATGTATTGAATTGTATTGGAAAGATCCACCCTGGTTTGGACTTTCAGAATTAAGTTTTAAATGATGGAAAAATTGTGGATTATCATTGAGTATGCAAATGAAGATTAAAATAAGATCACTGATTTTGTTACTTAAAAATTTCAATGCAAAACACTATCTATGGCTTGATCTACCATAGCAATAATAATCATAAATGGGGCAAGTTCTACAAATATTTTATGTACTGTAAAAGCCATCAAGGTCCTGTAAAATATCAGGTTTCACAGGACCTAGTGTCCTGTAGGATCATTTCAAGTTTCACTAGGACTGCGAACCTACATCAGGAGTTGGTTATTATTCTACATTATGACACACATGTAGCTCAGTGATGTCTAGTTTGTGTAATCTGCAGCTATCTGCTCCAATCCCTAATCAACTAATACACCCATTGACAGTCTCTAGATGATTTTTTTATGAACTACGTAAATAACATAATAAGGTATATTGAGTGAAAAAAAACGACTTGTTTCCCTTATCTTCGAGTAAAATCGATATCTCAAATGCTAAAACAATACAAATTTAACTATATTCAAACTGCTAGTTTAGGGTGATTTAATGTCCGATTTTAGAATTTATTACCTCAATGAAAAGTTTGTGATCTTAGCTTCGCTTAGAATATTTTAAAACATCGTTGACACTAAAAGTATTTAAATTTACGGTTAAACCTACCACAAGTCGGACCATTTTTCATACGATATATACAGTGAGATAAGCAACCGGTTATCTTTACTAGCAATTCAACTGATAAGAATAGCCTGTCATCTACTACTTCTATTTGAAAGACCCTGTTCGGAAACTGTCAATCATTGTATTATCTTATATCTACTAATTCGGAACAGGGCCTTTCAAATAGGCCAAATAAAAAATTATGTCTGGTTCGGGTAACAAAAATTAGGAGGGTAGGGATTTTCATATTTTTTTTTTTTTTTTTTTGGAAACGTCTTATTTTCCATTTTCAGACATACTTAAACAGAGATTGTAATCAATCAATGCAAATACCATTTTATAACTTCCAGCATAGTGTGTTTCACTACAATCTTAATATGAATGGTATTGGTAAAGAATTATATTCAAATGATCACTGTCGACTGTTAAGAATGACACTAGCAAACAGTTTAGCATCTCTTCGCTTGAAGCAGCTCTAGTAAATGAAACTTTTATCAAACAAATGCCCTAAATTAAAACATGTTACTTCACCTTCCAAAATGTTGCCCCTTGGATGGCCGTTGACATCTATTACTTGACGTCGTATAATACTTATATGATAAGTTTTTTGAGATTGGCCAAACATTAAGTTGACTAAAACAATGCATGTACATAAAAGTTTATTAAGTAACTCATATCAAATATTTGAAACAATGAACAGCAAAATTCATTGCTTTTTCATATTCAAAAATATTGAAGCTTATTAACTTTTCGTACCAAAAAGATTTCATAGCGAAAATCAAAAAAAAAGTTTAGGGTTGGCAGTAAAAAAATAGGGTAGGTCTGGTTACACCAGACATGTTTTTTATTTTGGCCATATTTCTATTTGAAAGACCCTGTTCGGAAACTGTCAATAATTGTATTATCTTATATCTAACCACAGGGACCAAGCACAGTGTTGGGATAGTGTAAAAAAAGTAATTCTAGAAAAAAATATATACTGTATATATATTTTGCTAGGACAGACACCTGTTCTCACTTGATTTTCTACTAGTAAAAATGCAATTTTAGACAATGTCATTGTACAAACCCGCAATTAATCGGTAAAATAATTTCAAATAAACAACTTACAGATGAAATTGCTTTTTGTTTTATAAATATATGTCCTACAGAAATATCTTCAAATAAGTCGATTTTGATAATGATAATGTCTGCTTGTTCAAATTAGAGCCTCGAACATATTCTTATACAAAGATATGGAACTAATTTATATCTGTGTCTACAAGAACAGCTAAACAGTGTTAAAATATCCAGAGACATAAAATGTTATTTATGTCTCTGAAATATCCGAGTACCATTTCACTTTAAAAATTATGAATACTTTTCAACTTACAACACCACTAAAACAAATAAATCAATACTTCATTGAATAAATGAGAATTCAATCATATTTTCTGCAAATACTTTCTTACCTTAACTTTAGGAAAGGACGATTTTTACGTTTCATATTTGTTATAATTTACGGATCATTTGTTTACAAATGGTGGAATTATTGCAAAGGGAAATAAGCATGTAAAGACATTTTGGTTTCCATCTCCAAGCTAATTTAAATAAACAGTGCGAGGAACCAGTCTTGTTTACTGCTGGAAAAATGGGTTCTTGTTTGGCAATATGTTTTAAAGGTGGAGGAGACTTAGACCAGCCGTCAATGGTAACATATTTATTTATTTAATGAAAACAAAATCTGTTCCCAAATGGACGAGACAATAAACCTGTTGATCAAATCTTTATTTCAGTATAGACATTGAACATCCCTATATTATTGACTTGAAAGCTGTAATAATGTTTTTAACTATTCATTGAGTGTTTTTCTAAAGTAATAAATTCAAATTATAGTTAAAAACACATGTACACTATATCTACAACATAGTGATACTGTGTCACAGTGTCTAGTTGTAAAGCAAAATTTTACAGTACAGTATACAGACTTGAGGTGTACTACAAAATCTCCAAAAAATGAAAAAGAACACTTTACATGTGGGCATTCTTACATATATTACCATTATAATTACATGCTGTTTTAGCTATATTGTTAACAGGTTAATAGCTTACTGAATCCTTACAGGACTGGTTAAACACAAGATCTCAAAGGAATTGTTTTATAAATACTATTTAAGTGTTTTAAACATTTAGTATATATTATATCTAAATGAACAGTATATATAAGTAGGCTGACAGTAGTTGAAGCTTATTATGAATGACATCACTTCACTGTACACATGCTACAACCAAACAAGCAATAATCCACACTGGAACATACGATACATAGTACATCCCAGATCCACACAACAATTCTAAAACTGCATAAACTATCTTTTTGAATAAATAGTATTGTAGAACTTACATGATTTTTTTTTAATAGAAATGGCTTGTGTGTGTTGTTATGTTTGCTTGCCCTTCCCACCGGAATAATTACGGTATTTGCGAGCATAAACATTTGTCTCATGCTGTATGGTGTTTTTATGACAGGAACTACGCCGGCAGCAGCAGGCTGAGGCAGCTGAGCGGCGTCAGAGGGAGCTTGAGGGCAGAGGGGTAAAGGATCCCGAGGCTTTAAAACGAAAACAGAAAAGACAGGAAGAAATGGAGAAAGCACAACTTACTCAAGGAAACAAAGATTCTAACCTGAAGGTTAAACTTGAAAATAAAATCAGAACCTTTCTATCATCAATAATCAATTTTTCACTTCCAAGAATTTTTTTTCAAATAAATTTTTTCGCTCTAATGCCATAATGGTGACATTTCTGCTAATTAAGTGTAACTGACTTGTCTTGCTACTATAGTACCCTGGATAAGGAATTTTAATTTATCTTTCCATAATTACCTACAGAATTTTTTTATATCAAATTGTTCAGACTCCAAATTTAAGGACTGCCCATTAAATCTGTTTTGGGATATCATGATAAAATTGAAAGTTTTAGTCTGCCAACAAAATAGAGCCTGGTCACTGCAGTGATGTGCATGCTGGCCTGGCTGTATACTGTTAACAAAGGCTGATCAATTTTCATTCTGCCTGGGTAAGGGTAAAGTTTTTTTGATGTGTCACATGTAGTGTAACAATTTTAATAAAAGCATAGTTGTGATGAATGTGAGTCACTAATTTTGATCACTGTTAATGTCATGACGTGTATAATGTCATTTATCTCTTACTTTTTTCTTTCTCATTTCAGTGGCAGGTGTCATGAAAAGAAGTGTTGTAATGCAATCCCCATGCCAACTACAAGAAGCTTTTATTTAGCTTGTTTTTTTTTTATCCATAATGTGTTTTTAAATGTTGGTTATATTTATTATCTTTATGATTATATTTTATAAGCCACTAGCATTCAATAGGACAAAAATCACCAATGTATCCTTGGGACTTTAGCAAGAAACTGAGCATCATCATACTCTCATATACTAAGTCTTGTTCATTCATAGCTGATAACAAAGGTTATTATACAAGCCTTTAATAATATTATATAAGATAGATAGTAAGTCTTGATAAAACCTCTAAATTCCAATTGGAATTATTTCATTTCATGATTAAATGATGTCAAATATTATGCCTTTAAAGAATTTTCTTCTGGCTGCATAAAGTGGCCAGTTTATCTATCTGTTTCTCCTATACAGCTACGTATTTTTAGTCATAACTCTTTTTATCTATTTGACTAGTAAAATTGTTATCTTAGAAATTTGTATTTACGTATCTTTCATGGGCTTCTTTTTTCTGGATAGATTTGAGCTCAAAATGTTAGTTATTCTACCTTTTCTCAGAGAATGTCAGTAATATTCATTTAACTGATATCTTAAGTATTAAAAAGTAGGTCAAGGTCAATAACACAATGTCATAGAGGTAAACAGATTTTTATCCTTCTTTTATTCTCATAGAGTTCTTCATAATCTTGAGAGATTCTAAAAAGAAATGGTACATGTATAAATTTTGTACCTTCTACCCTTGCATAGGTTTTGAGGTAGATGGTAGCTTAGAATTGGGACTGTTTTACCTACATTTACACATTATTTTGCAATATTTATTTTATGCTGTGTTATATTTGGGACTTTGGGCGCATCCGCTGGTGTTACTGATACATTTGTGTTTGTCTTGTTTAATTCTTCGTTTCTTTACATGTATAATAATTATGATGACTTAACATTTTATATTTTGATATTGTGACTATGAACCTACCTCTACAATACTTTTATCTGTTGAGGTTGTTTAAATTGGCACTACATGTGCTTTTATACCAGAAGTGCTTTATCTTAATTGAAAATTGCATAATATTAAAGTTATTTTTGTGTATTATACAGAATAAGTATGTAACAAGAAATCGACTCAATTTCCTCAATCTAATTAGAATAACTTTAGTGTAAATACCTTTTTGCTGCTGTTAGAATTTGCCTAATGTGAGTAATTGGAAGTGCATATGCCATCACTGCCTTGTATTATTTTTTGACAACTTTTTCTAATTTAATATGACAGTTTTTAAGTTATTTCTGGTCTAATTTTAGACATAAAAAGTTGATAAGTATCCCAAATTTCCATCAAAATAAAAATACTGGATTTTTTAAGAGACTGACAATATTTACTGTTCGGAATGAAAATTGGTGAAAATATGATTTTTTTTATGATTTCTTTATAAGAGCATAGACAATACATACTGTATAGTATACAAACAGATATATGTTTAAGAATGTAAAACTTATAAGTACATAAGAACTTCAATTTTTAACTTTTAGGAAAAATTCACCTTCTAATATTGTATGCCCAATCAATATCTCTTATGTACTTTTTTTTTGGCCCAGTCTATTATCCGATTGAATGAGATTGGTGTTTATGTATCATCAAAGATTCAAACCAATTACAGTGAAGTTTATACAGTCAAAACGTTAATTAATTAAACCTATTCTGAGGTGAGGTATATTCAAACTAATTATAAGTTTTGTCTAGTGTTTTATCATTGTAAGCATGTTCGATCTTTCTTATCAACAGTAACTAAGTGTGTGTGTTAATGTATTATGTATTTATTGTGTATATGTTTAATCAGAGACTTATATTACAGATAAATCTGTGGTTTTATGAATGAAAATCAATATATTAGAATAAGTTAACTAAAACACTTTGAAGAAAGATTGTATGTATCTCCAGTCTGAGTTGTCTCGAATAAAAAGCAGCTGCTTATTGACATATAATAGAAAATATCCTCTTTTGCAGACTCTTTATCTATTAAAAGAGTGAGCTATTGTGATTTATCAACGTCAGTGTCTGCCTGTAAACCGTTTTATTTAATCATCATCAATATTATATGAGCCGCGTCACGACAAAACCAACATAAGCATGGATCCAGACCAGCCTGCACATCCGCGCAGTCTGATCAGGATCCATGCTGTTTGCTATCAGATTCTCTACTTGTAATAGGGTTGGTAAGCGAACAGCATGGATCCTGATCAGACTGCGGGGATGCGCAGGCTGGTCTGGATCCATGCTGATCCCAAACCCATTATGTTGGTTTTGACGTGACGCGGCTCATATATAGATTATAATAAACACTCTTCAAACATCTTCTTGTCATAAACATTGTACCTGTGTCAAAACATTTTGATCAAATTGTTCTATATTTTAAATAATTTATCCTTAGTGTACGAGTTGCTGTATAAATGTATACATTAACATCTTGCCATCTTCCTACATGTGATAAGTTTTTAACAAGTTGATTCTTATCTGTCATTCTATTCTGTTCAAATAGCTTTGATTTATGTTCAAATATCTTATATAGACTTCAGAATTCTGTTCTTGAACATGTTGCTCCTCCAGCTTTGATAAACTTTCATAAAAATAATAGTCCCATTAGTCTGATAGGTAGAATATATTGCCTCAAGCAGGCTTATAATTAATTAATATACTCATATATAGCAACATACAATGTATTAATATAAAAGTTCACCATCTCTTAACTTGCTGAATGTCTAAATAAACTTTTTCATCTTAAATTTTTGGAACTTTTCTTTAACAAATTCTGGCAATATCAGGATGAAGGTTTTAAGTCGGTCAGCCAACAGTGTGAGTCCCAGTCAGACTGCATGGATGTGCAGGCTGGCCTGATCTAATATTGCTGATAAGGCCAATCACTTTAATTCCTCGCCTCAGGTGATCATTATTATAATGATGATGACACTATTAACTTATACATTAAAAGGGCAATTAACATTGGTTGTGATGTAATCTTTATATATTCTATAATGAAATTTATCTTTATATTAACAACTGTATATTTCCTATTAAAATGCCTTTTTATGTTCTTGTGTATAGAAGTGTAATGTTTCACTTTTATGTAGTTTTAATAAGTTATCTTTGAGTTCATTTTACCAAATTATTTGCTTCATATATAGGTATTAAAAAAATGAACCAAAAGAACATGTCAATCACTGATATGAGTTTAAATTGTATAATAAGGAAGTTTTGTTGTGGAAATATATTTATATTATGTATTTGTTATCATGAAGATATTTATTTATCACTGAATCATTAGAGGAATGTACTATTGCATACACAATCTGCATCAAAGTTTGGTTGAAACAATATTTTATTTCAGCAAATATATATATATACACAATATATTACAATAAAATGCAAAAAGGATTGAGTAGAAAGCTAGAAGCTTTTTTAGAAACTCTCTCCTACATCAAAGTTTGTTCTGTTACCATCTTTCTTAGCCCAAAACATATGTATTTATTTAGATGAACAACCAAACTGATAATCTAACAAATAAAATAGTGATCTTTATACACAGACTCATTATGCTGCAACAAAATTGATAGTTAGGTTCAATTAGGTATCAAACAGTTGTATTTGATCCTGGAGTAATGTATTTTCACACAACATTTATACACTGTAGATGATTAAATTCCCAGAATGTTAGCAATTATTTTTGAAAGGCCTATATCTTAAATATACAACTGGGCAGCCTCTATAGGCTCAGCTCAGTATTTTTTTATTTGATAATAAAACTTCCAACAGATCTTAACAAAGTTAAAACGTTATTAACAAGTACATTACTCATCAGGGTTATCTATGACCATATATTTATCTTCAGCAAGGGAAACTACACATGTATAAATTGAAATTTTATATAGAAAACTTGATTTATCCCAGTTTGGGTATATTATTGTAAATTTATTATTATTTTATAGTTCAAAATATATTTGTGTTGTTTGTGTTGTGAAGTTAATTAAGGCTTTGGGTATTTCATATACTTTAAAAAAGTTCATAATTTTTAATAATGTGTTGTATAAGGATAAGAACATTATATTGTTTTTCTATATTTATATAATCTATTACTATAAAATTTATGTACATGTATGTATATACAGTTGCAAGTTTTCAAACTGAAGCATCAGTATATCTGTACAGTAAACTCCGCTTATAACGAACCCATTGGGACATTCAAAATCTGTTCCTTATATCCGGAGTTCCTTGTAAGCATATAGCGAATTAGTTCTTTGTATCAGGAGTTTTTATAGCGAACAGATTTACATATAACGAACTGATTGTTAAACATTGTCCGCCATTTTTAAGAGCATGTGATTAAGAATAATTAATCATTTATTTCTTTTTTTTAAACCTAATACCCGAGAGCGTACATTTTGGAATTTGAAAATCCTTTGCTATTTCAGTTTTAGTTTTACTCCCTTTCTCAATTTTTCATAAAACATCATATTTCGTTTCTTAACTCACTGCACTGTGCTTTTCGTTTTCTTTCAATGAGAATAAACAAGATTTTCCATTTTTCTTCCTTTTATATTGAATATCTTCTATTATATTTTAAGGGTGACTTTAACTAATAACATATATATTTCTTTTCATTTCAAGCAAGCATACATTATAGTTTTCTATGGATTATGTTTGCAAGCATGCGTGATTATGTTGAAAACCGATAATTATTTTACTCGAGCAAACTATTAAAGAAAAGAAATTATAGAATAAAGGGAATTACCGTTTTATCATTGTAACAAGAACACAAGCTAAAAATATCCTAAATAGAAAACTATTACATACTTCTATACAAATTCATTTTCATATATTGAATTACATACAACAATAAACGGTACATTCCACGAGTTTCATTCCTTGCCAATGAAAACGAAAGTTGAAAATGCGGGATATATTTACGAATAGACGATATTTGGAGTTCGTTATAAAAGTGTAATTTTATGCACTTTTAACTAAATTGGGACTAAAAAATGAGTTCCTTATAAGCGATAATTCCTTATAACCGTGTTCGCTATAACCGTATATTTTTATATTAAATAAAGAATGGCAAAATTCGGGCCAAAATAAATTGTTCCTTATAACCGGAAGTTCGCTATAACCGTGTTCGCTATAAGTGAAGTTTACTGTACATTGTAATTATAAATGTTTTATTTATCTTTGTATGTGTATTATATTCAATGCTATTAAATTAAGAAAGAAAGGAATTGTGTTTGTAGCTTTTTTTTAGCTCAACTGTCACAAAAAGACATGGTGAGCTTTTGTGATTGCTTTTCGTCCGGCATCTGTACGTCCGGTGTCCGTTTGAAAACTTTGACTTTAAACTTTATCTCCTCATAAACCGCTAAGCTAATTTCATCCAAACATAACAGGAATGTTCCTTTGGTAGTCAACTTTAAAAATTGTTCAAAGAATTTAATTCCATGCAGAGCTCTAGTTGCCATGGCTACCCGAAGAAAAAACTTAAAAGATCTTCTTTAAAACAACAGAAAGAGATATAGCTTAAATATTTGGCATGAAACATTGTCTAGTCAGTGTCTACCAAGTTTGTCCAAATAAAAGCCCTGGGATCAAAATTGGCCCTGTACCAGGGGGTCATTGTTTTTCCCTTTATGTATAAAGTAAAAACTTAAAAAAATTTCTATTAAAAAACCCAAAGAGCTAGAGCTAAGATATTTAGCATGAAACATCTTCCAATGATTGTCTACCAAGTTTGTTCAAATAAAGACCCTGGGGTTACATTATTGGCCCTGCCAATTTTCCTTATATGTGTATAGAAAAAACTTAAAAATTCTTCTTTAAAAAAGACCCAAAGAGCTAGAGATTAGATACTTAGCATGAAACATCTTCTAGTAAGTGTCTACCAAGTTTTTTCAAATAAAAGCCCTGGGTTCAAAATTGGCCCACCTTGCTTGGGGGGAGGGGGAGTCATTGTTTTTTCCCTATATGTGTATAGAAAAAAAAAATCTTCTTTTAAAAACTCCAAAGAGCTACTAGAGCTTAGATATTTATCATGAAACATCTTCTAATGGGTGTCTACCAAGTTTGTTTAAATAAAAGCCCTTTGGTTAAAATTGGCTCTGCTCTGAGAGCCTACATGTAAGCGATTTCAGGGCCATCATGGCCCTCTTGTTTTATTTTCATCTTTTTTAATTAATTATGGTTTCATTTTATTGTTATCTATATACTTATTTTTGGTTCACCGAACTGAAGCCTGTTTGAAACTACTGTACCTTTATTTGGTCTATGACATCCCTAGTTGGTCTTGTATAAAGCCTCTATAAAGTTTTTTTTTTAGTAACAAAACAAAGCATGAGCAGAAACCTTATTTTGACATAAGGAAAACATTGTTGTACACTTGTATAAACTAGCTGAATATGATTAAATCACAATTATCAGACCAATATTACTGGGGTTTTTTTTATTTGATAGTATGATTATTTTCTCCTATTGAAGTACATCAAATGTACCTTTCAGGGGATACGTTTGAGAATAGAAATATCTTCTTACATCTTGTGTTATTGAATCACATATCATGTATCATTCTCATAAGGTCTGCTGTAATGTTTGTTAAAACAACTGATTGTCCCATTTTAGGGCCTGCTAAAGCTAAGAATAGGAATATCATTACATGAGATCATCATCAAATTTTGCCTTAAGTAACATTAGATGGTTTTTATTTGTTTGGGTCGTCAGACCAAACAAATAATGGTAGCGAAATTTCAGAGCCTAATGCTGTTAATTGCAAATGCCTAAAGTAGTCCACTTTTTTGAAGCGGTTACTTCCCTTTACATGTACACTAAAGCCGAAAAATTCAGGGGAGATCAATGCGTAAAGATTGTCAAATTACAGGCGCATTAATTTTCAAGCAAAGTAGTTCCCGAATGGTCGAAAATTTCTAATATTGTTTCATTCTTTATAGATATACATATACTTACAGTAAGCTCCATGATTATTTACATCTGTGTTTAGCGTCGAAATAATAAGAGTTACAAACCCTAATCTAGAATAATATGGTTTTCTTCAGGTCGTTAATTATAATTTCACCGTGGCTGAGGGGTTTGCACGCTCGCTTATGAATCGAGAGGTCTCGAGTTCAAATCCCAGTTGAAGCAACTCATTTTTTAAAAAAAAAATTTAAGTCAAATAAACATTGAATTGACTATCAGTGTTGCAATTAGTCTTATAGCCAATTTACTACAGTTAAAACACTGGAAAGCATTGGTGGCACTATGTTCTCAATATAGCCTCTAGATAGTCACGAAATACCAGGATATCTCTCCTCTTACGAAATACCAGGATATCACTTCCTCTTCCAAAAATTTTCTCGGGGGAGCATGCCCCCGAATCCCCCTTTTTAAGGAGTACATATCAAAATAGCTCAGTTACGCCCATGCTAAGTGAACGATTTTTATTGTTTTCTACAGTGAATTTCGAAAAAAGTTACCAGCTTAAATGCATGTCCCTCATATATTGAACAGATACGTTACCACGCTTAAGGTAAACCTGAGTAAGAGTAATATGAACTTGTAACATATTAATAGTTTGCTATTGAACTCAAGTTTTATCATATTTCATAATTCAAAAATAATTTTGACTACAATATACATGCTAGAACCACAATGACTTTGCAATGATGAGGCAAATTGGATTATACTTTAAAGTGAAACAGATACGTTACCATGATATCCCACTGAGAAACATTTACTATTACCAGCACTTAAAAGTAGGATCGCATTTATGCATTATTCAAATATATGCTTTATAAAACTTAATATTTGATCTATTTGGCAAAAATATGTGTATATCTGATATATTTTAGATTTTTGACCAACAGATACGTTACCAACAGATACGTTACCAATATTTATTGTTTGAATCTTAATTGGCGATTTTGCTCAGTTTTGAAATGGTTTCATGTTAAAAATCACAGCATAACATACGTGTAGCCAATAAATGATGCATTGATCTCGATTTTATTGGAAAACTGAAAATGTGAATCAGGAATTTGAAATTCAAGGATTAGTTGAGTTTTCTAGAAAATAAAATGTTGAAAAACAGGAAAGAAACATATAAAGATTTACTGTTTTATTTCCTGGAATAAATATATGTTGATATCTTTTTGGTTTGCAAAATTTGTATTTAAAATAAAATGTAGAGGACTGTATAACTTCTGGTAACTTATCTGTTTATCATAGTAACGTATCTGTTTAGAAAGAGATTTGAGTACTGTTTAATATATATAACTAAATCTTCAACAAAACTTTGGTTTAAATTAGTAATATATGGTTACGC